TTTCACGGTCTTGTGCTTTTTTGCCTGGATCAGCCTTGAACTGTGATCTCACCTATGCTGTCTCATTGTGTAACTGTGGTTGTAGGCATGTACTGGCTTGATCATTGAAATAGGGTTTTGCTAACTTTTTTGCCTGGGCTGTCCTCAAACCATGATCCTCCTGTCTCTGCCTCCCAAGTAGATGGGATCCAGGCATGAGCCATTGTACCCAGCTAAAAAGAAATCTTTGTAAGAGGCCATATTATATCTCTGTTCTGTGCTATCAAAGGTTAGCCAACTTTTAAAATTATATTTACATATTTGAAGCAAAATAAAATCTATAATAATATAAAAAAATGTGTATATCTGTGTGAGAGTGCCTGCATGCTCAGTTATAGTATATACCATATAAATTCAGCCTTCACTATTTGGCAGAATGCAAGGAAAATGTTTCTATGATGGATTAGGTCGCTTCAGTAGAGCCTTAATTAACCATGTAAATCCACTTAGTAACTAATTATATCAGAGTCAAATAAGAATGATATTTAATAAACTAGAGCATAACTGGGGAGAATTGCCTGAGGCATGAATTTCTGGTTAGAATGAATGATGCATTTAACTGTATACTTATCAATATACAATTAACTGCTTATGATGGCTGATGTTGCATACTTCTGGCTTCTGGATAAGTTTGAACTATAAATCTACCACCACTAATTAGGAGGGAAAAAAAGGTAAAGAAATGTTAAACCCAAAAGTTCCCTGGGGCTCTCAGACATGTCCTGGGTCTTCAGTTTGGTGTGTAACTTTTGAAGTTAATGGAAATTATACCTTTTTTTACCTAAGAGGAAAAAGTGAGAAAATGGGTAGATAGAATGAGTTCTGTCGCAGTGGAATAAGCAACAATCAGAAAAGGTGCTTCTTTAATACTTCTTTATCTAGCATGAATAAAGATTCATATTGGTGCAGTAATGTGGTTCAGCTTTATCATTGTATACATTTTTTTTACTTTTGCCTTGATGCTGTTCTTTAGAAAACATGTGACTTTGCTTATTATTGGCAAATAACTAAAATATACATGATCAGTAGAAGCAAAATTTTAGTTGAGAAAAATAGAGAGGCTACTTGTTTAGTACTATTCTTGAAATATTAAAAATAATGAACTGATAAAGCAAACACTGTTTTAAAGACTAATTCCACCAGGTAATTGGTTTGAAACATAGATGTAACTTTATTGAAGGAGAGAGCTCATATTATTAATTAAGGGAAAACTTTCATCAAGTTATTGTGATTTCAATTTCAAAAAGAAATAAAAGAACCTGTGCTCATTGAAATATGTATTAATTTTGGTTTTTTTGATGGGTGAAAGTTACTTGGTTTGGAATACATTGTTATCATTATGGTGCTTAGGTTAGTATATAGTAAGTTGGTAAGAATGGTACTTTATTGAAAGAATGAGGAAAATAATATATTTCACATTCAGGTTGAATGCTCTGAATTAGGATAGGATTAGAATCAAACAAAAGATATCTCTAGTTGCCTATCATGTGCCTACTTTCTGTTAACATAATGTTGATTCTTACTCCTAAACAGGCCAAGTGCAGACTCCTAGATGGAATGAGTTAAAAGTAGAGCAGAAGTCTGAATCTGCACATAAACACATTGGAGGCATAATTTCTCTGTGACTGCTTATCTCATAATGCTCCTTATTTAAGGATTTGTTACAATTTTTGAACATTTAGTAAATGTAAAAGATGAAATATCACAGAAAGTGGATTTGTACAATTTAATAGGAAAACATTTGTTGTGTGTATAATCTGTGACTCACAACTAACTGATAGTTATGAAGGTAAAAAATAAGTGTGGTGTACTTTTTTGTATACTTAATAATTAGCAACAAGTGACTTAAAATAGTAACAAACAAAATTCTTGATTTTTTTTTTTTTTCTGGTACTGGGGCTTGAACTCAGGGCCTACACCTTGAGCCACTCCACCAGCCTTTTTTTGTGATGGGATTTTTCGAGATATCATCGCACAAACTGTTTGCCCTGGCTGGCTCTGTACTGCAAGCCTCCTGATCTCTGTCTCCTGAGTAACTAGGATTACAGGTGTGAGCCACTGGTACCCAGCTACAAAACAAAATTATTAAATTATCTTTGCTTCACAGAGAAATTAAATTCTCATTCAAACTGTAAATTAAACTGTAATTTATATTTAATGTCTCTGAAGTGGTTTGTAAAAATGATAATTGTCTTGAACTCTGTTGTCATTGCAGAGTACCTGACTGTGTTCTCTCAGATGATTGCATTCCATGACCCAGAGCTGAGTAATCATCTCAATGAGATCGGCTTCATTCCTGATGTAAGTACTCAGTGCATTCACAGAACGTGAGGTGAAAAGAAAAGCAAGAATTGACAGCTCAGAAGGGAGATTTTTTAAAATTGTTGTTGTCACAAGAAGTTCATATCTGAACAAGTTACTGCTATTAGTCATACTCTTATGTTGTGTGGTCACCTTTCATATTCTGACCTTAAATAAAAGGAAAGTTCCTCTTAATATAAGCACTCAATAGACTGAGGCAGGAGATTTTGAGTTTGAGGCCAGCCTGGGCGTATAGTGAGACCCTATCTTAAAAAATAAATAAATAAAATAAAAAGCTATTGGATAAATGTATACCAAAGTATCACATTATACTCCATAAATATCCTAAAATAAAATAAAACAGCAAATGAAAGTGAAAGATACACACAGTGGTTACATATTTGGGGAGGAATTGTAATTAGAGATGTAAGGGAATCTGGTGTAATATTTTACTTTTAACTTTCTTAAGACTGTGAATAAATGGCTTGTTCAATAGTTTAACTTTAACCACCTTCTCTCAAGCAATCATAATTTTTCAGAAATATATTAAAATTATTGATAGATGACATAATGTTCAGGCTATATTTCACTAAAGTAAGGGAAGCATTTTTTACTTTGTCAGTACTGGAGTTTGAAGTCAAGGCCTGGCACTTGCTATTCAAGTGCTCTACCACTTGAGCCACTCTCTTATCTCTTTTTGCTTTCTTATTTTTTAGATAAGGTCTTGTGCTTTTGTCCAGGCCAGCCTTGGACAGGATCCTCTTACCTCCACCTCCTTGTAGCTAGGATTACAGCATGATCTACCATGTCTGTCTTGTGTTTTTGAGATAGGGGCTCACTATCTTTTTTGCCCTACTGGCCTAGAGCTGTGATCTCCTATTTCCCCTCCCAAGTAACTGGCATTATAGACATAAGCCACCATGCCCTGCCCTGTCTTAGAAAAGCAGTTTGTAAAATACTTTTATGGCATTATCTCATTTTCATAAAAGAGCTGTGTATATGTACATATACGTAGGAAAAGTTGAAAGACCATCCTTGAGATTATTAGTTATGATTTTCTTGGGTTAGAGTTTATGGTTACTTTTTTGTGTGGGAGTTAAGTCCAGTTTTTAAATCATTTTCAATTCACATGTGATTATTTTTATAATATAAAAATTTGATGTATGCTACACAGTGATGTTTATAAGTAGAACACAATTTTTCCTACAATGCATAGAAAGAAACTACATTTCATATTGAGATTCAAGACACACCAAAATTGGGAGTGCTTATGTGCACGTGTTAGCTGAAACAAGTTTTACTCAGCATGTTTTATGCTTCCTACATACAATGTATCCTATTATATTTAAAATTTTTTACAACCAGTAAGTTGATTTTGTGAGCCTCAATTTGAAAATGCTTATATAATGCTTTTATACATAAAAAAATCAGTAACTGATTTTTTAAATTAAAAGATAAAAGATTATTGAACTGCGGTATTGTAGGTTTCTATAAGTCTCAAAATATGTGTTTTTTTGAGGTAGAGATTTTCTTTGTTTCCTGATTGGGATTTTTCCTTTGAAAGCTTACATCCTGAAAATGGCATATTGACAGGTTAGATTGGAATATGTTTATATTAACATTCAACTAATGTATGGGAAATGTTTATAATAGCACTAAATATAAATATTAAGTATTAATTGGAGAAGCAACTTTTGAGTACAAAACTTATTAAATAAGTACTTTAAAAAGAACAAATTCAGGATCTGAGCTGACCAGAGAATACAAAGACAGGTCCTGTGATTAGAGATAAGAAACTTCATAAAAGAAATTAACTAATGTACATATCATTGTATTAGTTACTCATTTTGTATATATCTTCTATATAAATTTTATTTGAATTTCTGCCTTCGTGTTATAAGCATGAGATATTATACAATACTAGATTAAGACTAGAATTGAAGAAATTATCAATGAACTGATTGCCAAGTAGGCAATGATATTATATTTTTGAGGAAAGAAACAATAGTAATACTAAAATCCAGACTGAAAAAGGGAGTAATTATTTTTTAAGAATGCTCTTAAAACCACCTAAAGTATGTACAGCACTTCAAAGAAAATTACATCAATCTAGTGTTGTGAATTGGCAGAGAATATTTATATCAACTAATGTGAATGGAATTATAAAAATAGTCTGATAAAATCTTTAGACGACTCTGAACATGGGTGGTATTCAGAAAGAAAACATGGAAGGAAAAATGATTAATCTTTTGGTTAACCAGAGTATTGAATTCTGAATAATTTGATGTAGAAGCAGTGGTAAGCAAAAACATTGTTAAAACATAATAATGTGAACACAGTAAATGATTATCATGTGTCACTCTGCCACCCTCTCTCAATATCAAATCCTTTCAGTTTATAAACAATGATTGTTAAATATTTATATATTGGGCTGGCAGAGTGGCTCATGTGGTAGAGCACCTGCCTAGCAAGCATAAGGACCCCAATATTGCCCCCCCAAAAAGAAATTAAATCATTAAATATTTATATATTAAGCCAATTTGGGAAGATCTACTAGTAAGGTTGAATTAAAATTCTCGATAACAATAGCAGCTAATAATATCTTATGAAAGATAAGAGTAGAAGGAAAATAAGTTTAAAAATTGTTGTAGTATGTTTGCGTTATTTTTCAGGGGAAGATAATATGCTTCTTGTATTTACATATTAAGTGAGGAATCCTTTCAGATCTTAGACTTGATTTTACCCTGCTTGGAAGTTTATAAATTAGTCCATTACTGTTTTCTGAACACTGGAAGAAATCATAAGATGTCTTGTTCACAGGTAAAGGACTTTATCACTCACAGAACAAGCAGCAGGAGCATTGAGGTGTGTCTTGGTTCCCCTTACTCTCAAATCCCATAGAAACAACATGGAGGGCCCAGATGATTCCTACCAATGCAGTGGATTGCATTCGAGGAGAGGAAACATGAGATTTGGGATTCATAAAATTTAAAGTGGGCAGTAAACATGCCTTCCCTCTGTTCTTGGAGAGAATAGAATGAGATTCTTTTTCTTCTAAGTCTGTGAGTAAATTTGCCCTTTCTTCAAAGGGAGAGTTTATCTTTGTTTTGCAAGACTGTTTTTTAGTGCAAACATATTTGAAAAGATAGCCCAGAAGAAAGGTCAGTCTGCTTATAAGAAATTCAGACGTTCAAGGATTCATGTTAAAAATTTAAAGTATAGAAAGAAAGCTAGACATGGTGGTTCATCCCTGTAATCCCTACACATTGGAGGCTAAGCAGGAAGATTGGGGCTTTAAACCTGGACTACATAGTGAGATGCTATCTCAAAACTATAGAAAGAATATGTATAATTCTAAACCACTGGGGGGAGGGGTAAGCAAATAAAAGTCAAGCAATTTTTAAAAACCCAAGAACAAAGAAAGAATTGCATATGAACTAAACGCCTATTAAAGGAGATTTTTAGGTTGTATTTTAAAAATTCATCTTTAAATGCTATTTATTAGAGATAAAATTGTAAAATATATTGATCAGGAAGATTTCTTGAGTTCTCTTTTCAATAAAATTGGAGAAGAAGAGGGAAGAACAGGTTCTGCCTGAAAGTGGGAGTTGGGGAGGTGAGGTGGCACCAACAATGTATACCTATGTAAATAAATGTAAAAACGATAAAATAAAAGAAAAAATAAAGAGCATATTTTACATGCTGAAAAAAAACAGAATAAAACATATGCTAGGCAAATATTAACCAAAAGAAACTCATGTTGTTATATTAATATGAACTAGTAAAACTGGAGAACCAAAACAGATCCACTCAGATATGGAACTTTGTATCTAACAGAGATGGCTCTATAAAGCAATTAGAAAATAAAGCATTATTGAATAAGTAATCTTAATATAATAGGGTGGCTATGTGGAGGTAATGTAAATCAAAACCTTATATAAAATGTCATGTTTATAATTTGTCTAGGAAAGAATTCTTATTAGGTTTATAGAAAGCCATAATGTAACATTAAAAAGAAAGAATTGGAGTTGAGGAGTGGTACATGTTAACTTCCATTTTATGGGCAACATATTATTGTAGCTAAATTTTTTTGAAGCAAGTATGGCAAAATGTTAATGCTTGTTAAATCTGAGTAAAGGGTTCATTGATATTCTTTAAATGCATTGTTATGCAGAGTGACTAAATTCTTCAATAATCAATAACTTTGATATATTTATTCTATATATGCTTTCTTCTCTATTAGTGACTCCACTCCTAAAATTAGTGAGACATTTTCATGTAAATTCTTGCAAAACCTCTGCAATAGTAGCAATGTTATTAGGAAAGTAATATTAATTTATATGTGTAGTGTGAATAATCTTGTAGACACTCAGAAGTCATATGGGATGAGAAAAAAAAAACTCCCTGTGAAGTAGAATGTCCAAACATGACAAATGCCAAGTGTCTCTGGTGTTTAGCCACTAATTAATAGTAATTCTCTAATCATGTATGACATTTTAATGCCTCTATGAGTATTAGAAATTTGCATATATTTCTGTATGCCCTCTACAAAATGGTTCTGTTACTACTGAGTATATTTGTGCAAACATAGAGAAATGAGGAGATTGAGAATATATCTTAACCTTCAGAAAAGTCCTGCCTACAACTATTTTGTTATCATAGAGGGTAGGCAAAGAAAATGATTTACTAAAGAAAGCTAAAATGTTAACAAATACTTCTTTAAAATCTCTTGTCTTGGTTTTTGATTTGCTTTATTTTATTGAGCTGTTTCTCATCTATGGATAATAGAAAAATATGAAAAGCTGTTCTAAAATTAAATTTTGTAGAGATGTAATATTTTTAACATAGAGATTATTGACAGTGAGTAGTTGTGGAAGGTGTGTGATGAAATGGAGAATTTTTAATGTTTTTCTATTAACCACGTCTTTTTAGTTTCATCTCATTAGTTTGTATATGCATCATTGTTTTATTTTTCCCTTGAATTATTATGTTTAATATTTTTTCATTTAAAATAATGTTTGAAGAAACTTTGTGTGCCTCCAACAACAATACAGGCTAGGATTCAAGAGGAAGAGCAAGTACTTTGATAATGAGATCCCAAACTGAGTTCCCTACTCAAGAGCTAATCCTATCAAAGTAAGCCTTCATTAATCTTCCATCATTGAAATGCAGGCTTCCATTGCAGGAGAGATTGTGATATTTGGCTCCTTTCCATTTGCTGTGGGTCACAGAACTCTGAACACTGAGCACCGAGAAGCTTAAATAGCTTGGAAGATTGTACACTGATGCAATGCTTAGATTGTATAAATCATGGTAGTTATGTGATTTACATATAAATAGAGTGAGTAATGTGTATTTGGCAAAATTGGGGCCAGGGTGATTTTTATCATTCTGTCTTGATGTGTTTTCTGCTTCTGGAAATATACGAGGTCCTTAAAATGAGAACATGAAAGTGTGCTTCCTCATTCTTAAGGGAACTGTTTCTCTGAAATGCTAGGAATAGCATTCAGCTTGCAAATTATGAGAAGTCTGATAGCAGTGAAGAGAAATGATATGGGCTGTTTCTCAGTACTGTGTATGTATTTTGAACCTACTGTCTCAGCTAAAGAGCAAGCTAACAAATTCAGTGATATGCTGACAGAACGATTGTCATTTAACTGCAATCTGAAAGGATACTTACACTTCTATTAATTATCTCCTATAAAAGCTTGTCACTGTCATCTTCAAAATTTATATTCAGCTGGATTTTATTCTAACAGAAAATGTTAAGGGAATACTTATAAATATTCTTTAGTTCATTTGTGTCTGGCCTTTGTGTTACTACTTTAGTTTTAGATTTTAACCTAAATGACAATGAGCTTTTTCATATTTTGTTAAGATGTGTTTGTAAGAAAAACCAGGAAAAGCCACCTTATTTAGAATATCCCATAGTAAAAGTCCTACTAACCTGTTGTAGTCCATCTGCAGAGTCCTGGGGATTATGCTTTCTTGTCTTATAACTGCTATGATGTCTCTGACCTTAGTTCTAACTCCTATGGCCTTGAATATAAATAACTTATTAGGTATCTTTCTCATAATAAAAATTGATAACATTTCAGGAAGAACCCAGATACTAGAGACTAAAAGGCTTATTAATCCTATCAGGAATGATTAAATAACATTTTGGTAACCTCTTCCTAAAAAACCACTCACAAGTTAAACATTCAGCAAATTTTCCAATTCAGCAGATCTTAAATTGAATTCTCCACCTCCACAATCTGTTTCTAACCCAACGTGTCCTCCTTACACTGGTTGAGAGACAGATGAAAGGAACTGTAACATAATGTGGCTATTCTCAAAATTTTTGGTCTCAGGATCCCTTTTATTCTTAAAAATCCATGGGAACCCTAAAGAATTTTTGTTTATATGTGTCTTATTTATCAACATTTAATAATACATTTCAAACTATATATTCACTTAAAAATAATAACATCTGTCTGGGTTTAATGATATATGCCTCTAGTTCTAGCACTTACAAGGTGGAGATAGGAGGATTGTGAGGTTTTTGTTGTTTGTTGTTTTAGGATTATGAGTTTGAGACCAACCTGGACAGTGAGATCCTGTCTCAATAAAAATAATAACAAGAAGCCTACTTCATGTTAAGTAAAATATATTTCTGAAAAAATAGCTGTTTTCCAAAAATAGAAGAGTAGTATTATTTTATATTCTTTTCAATATCTTTACTTACTATAAAGCAGCTAGATTCTTCTGTGTGCCTCTGCAAACCAATTTGTTGCAATACATTATTTGGTTTGAAGTATATAAGATATGTAGGTGGCAAAGGTGACAGTAGTCACTTCTTAAAGCTTATTTGCAATGTACGTTCTAAAACTACTTTAGTGAACTTTTCATGCTTTGTTACACTAAAATCCATCAGCCAATCTTGTACTTTGAATGGCTCTTTTACCCATGCATGATATGGTAAAGTTATATGTTGGTTGGTTGGAAAATATTGGTTCACTGAGTTTGCAGACCTTCCATCTATGAAACATTTCACTTTACAACATCACAAAAAATCACAATAATAAAAAAATCAGTAACTATTGGGAATCTGCCAAGTTCCCAGTGAGCAGATACATTTCCTGATATTCTAATCCTCACTGCTCAGATCACATATTTTTTCTTGAAGTTACAGGCTCACTTTATTCAGTTTGAGAAATATTGGTCAGATACTCAGGCATAAAAAAAATCATTGTTTTTCTGTCATTCTTTCACGTAAAAATAATATTCCTTGAAAAAAGCACTGATTTTGTCTCATAGTTCAAATGATTGCCTAAGTACTTTTCCTCAAGGCAATTATTGTATTTCAGTACACAGCACAATTGCTTTACACTTACTTCCCATGTTCTCCCCCAAAATTTGTATAGATATTTATTAAAAGTAATAATTTTTACTCCTCCACAAACATATAATGACTGGCTTTGAACCACTGCCTTGATTTGTGCCAGGATGCCAGTCATTTTTAAACACGGTTTAAAGAGCAAAATATATCTTAGTATTATTATGAAAATATTTTTCAAATAATGGAATATTGAGGACCCATGGATTCTGTTACTTAAGACTGAGAATGAACAACCATGCTGATTCTGTTACAGTATAGAATATCAATGTTGCAAACCTTGATGATGTAAAATATATACTAACAGTTATTAGAAGCCATAGAAGAGATAAAAATATTACTATATTAATTTTGTTACCTTTCTTTTTGTTTGTTTTGTTTTTGCAGTAATGGGTTTTCAACTCAGGGCCTCACACTTACTAGGCAAGTGCTCTACATTTGAGCCATGATCCAGTCCTTCTTCTTTTTCAGTTTGTTTTTCAGATAG